TGCTGGGCTCCCAGGCACAAAGTTATCTCCTCTGGTAGTTTGAGTGATGGCTTTTCAGGCCTGTAAATGTCTAGCAAGATGACAGCCTGCTTTGCTGAATGTGTTTTCTGCTTCTGCCAACAAGTCAATAGTTTTCTGTCAATCAAGTTGTTTTTTTCTAAAGAAGGTACAAAAATGGTCAGCTTCTCAGAGTTGAGAAGGAATGAGGGAGTTTTTAAATACATCAGCCTAACTCATCATAAAGGTGCTGTGGGTGGGGAGAAAGGGGTAATGTCATCTTGCTGATGTGTTTTGTTTTTTTCTTTTCTCTTAAACAAATGGCTTTTCTTCTAGGAAGGTGCTTCAGCTGATGTCCCATGCAGCACAAATAACTGGACAGTTTCTTCTCTATACTGGAACATATATGTTGCAGATGATGGGTGAATATGATGAAGATGACATGTGTGCGAGATCAAGGCAGGCATAGTGAACACAGCTGCACTTCTGATATCAGATTCTTTTGCTTAAAGACATTCTCTTACCCAGTTTTGATTCAAATAATGTTATGTTAGGGGAATGTCCACCAATGTGAACTAACATTTTTCCCATTTGGGAATGCTTGTAGGCCTTAGTCATTGGAATAAGTGTTTGGTGTTCACAGGCTCTTAACACCACAAAAGGATGAGTGCCTCATGTCTGAGAATTCAGCAAAAGGAGAGAGGGCAGGTTTTTGCCCCAGCAACTCAAAATGGAGAATAGGTATACTTGGAAATTTGCATGCTTTGTAACCTGTGGAATATTTTTTACATAAAATATAGTTTGGTTGTTTGGGGTTTTTTTTCATGGCTGTCTGCTTGCATTCTGAATTGACTCAGCTGTCAGGTGGGGTGAGAGGACTGTGGGTTTTTGGTATTAATCCTTAACAGTGCTGGTGTTAGTGTCAAACTGGCATCGAGGTACAGTAGGGTGAAGTGTGCTTAATTGCTTCTGTTAACAATGGAACTACATAACACAACTTGAATCCTAGTTCAGTGACTGCTCTCATGAAGTCTCATTGGCAAATGTGAGCAGAAGATTAAAATTTAGCCTTACTTCCTTTAAAACAAGTTAAAAAAACCCCATTATAGCTCTTGATATTTTTCTTTAAATCTACATGAAGTTCAGGTGTTAGTATAGCTTATGCCAGTTGAAGAACCTGATTTATTTCTTTAATGAATCTGATGTCCAGTTCTGCCTGAGTATTGAATAATATTCCACAAGATTACAAGCAACCTGCTGAAGATTCCTTCAGGGGTTAAACCATCATTTCTGTAGTTTTTACTGTTCAGTTACAAGATGATACTACATGTCAAGTTGTGTTTGATGTACATGTAAGAGATGCTGGATATTTTGATGCCCCTGTGTCCAGGGGAGAGCAGCAGGATGCCATCTAGTCTTGCATAACATACATATGCTCTAAAGTGAGTATTTGTGGTACTACTGCCTCCTAAGACAAGCTGTATTAAAAGGAAAAGTAATGTTTCCTACAGTTTACTGAACTGTTAGTATGACCACCTTTCAGCAAGCTTTGCCTCAACAGTGTAGAAAACTGGAAAATGAGTAGCATTAGGCATCTCATGTCAAAATGCAAACTTATATTGATGAAGGGGAAAAGCCCAGCTTTGGTTGTTTGTCGTTGTGGCTTTTGAGGTTTTGTTTACTTGCTCATAAAGAATTTTAGCAAGACTGAAAGCTGTTAAGGAGACATCAGATACAGGTACACATGTCTGACCTGACAGTAGGTGCCACCTAGTAAGAGAAGCTTTTGTGCACAGAGTGGGACAGGGGAAGAACACAGTGAGACTGAAAAGGAAAATACCACTATGGACCCCACAGTGTTTGCCATGCCTCTGAGACAGGAATCCATTACCTATGTGCATTAACTGCATTGATCAGTTAGAAGAAAACCTAATTTGCTAAAAGAGAAACAGGAAGATGGAAAAGATGAAGCATCATGGTCAGTGGAATCTATTCTGACCTGTCAACTGGGTCTGTTCACTTCAAATGTCACAAATATGTGGGAATGTTGCTCTGTCCTTTATCTGAAAATTTCACCTTTGTATTATTGGTTTTGCCTTCACGTTGTGGATGTGGCTCAGTCAGCTGGAGCTGCATCTTACAAATCATGGTTGTGATGAAAAGCAGCCTAAATCCACGTGTTGAAGGGACCAATGGACACAAGTTAGGAAGATCTCTGCTTGTCTCTTGAGTAATGGTATTACAAATATGTAGACAGCTAGGAAAAACCCTGGGGTTTTCTTTCTGATGTCTGTTTTTTTCCCTATCTACTTTTGAGCGTTTGCTGGAGGAGGAGAGAGAGCATACTGCTCCGGATAAGGGGAGGATTTGTGCTTTCCTAATTTCTCACAGGAAAGAATGCCTGTAACTTGCAGCACTTTCAGGTGTCCTTCAGAAGAAAACAACAAACTGTTCTGGGAGTAATGAGAGTTACGTTAAAATGGAAGCTTTCTACTTTATCTGTATTGTTCTTCACATCCCCTGCACAAGCAATTGTTGCCATGTTAACCGTTGGCAAAACTCTTTCTATCCATGTCAAGGAATTGCATTCAACTGACTTTGCAATGACTTTGTCATTAATTTTTTTCAGTTTTTAGGACCACTCATTTGAGTGTAAAACAAGCACACCTCTTGAAAGCAAATTCTGTGTATTGCTTCTAAGAATACATATGTTGCTCATGATGGGAGCACCAACATTTTTTAAAAAAAAAAGCAAACCAAAGCAATGTGCATAGTTCATTGTTGCTTGGTTTGAGTTGCTTCTCCAACATCTGTACTACAAAAACTTTTGCATGTCTGAACTGTGCAGATCTCAAATTCCAGCCTTCTTTAGCCAGAGGCATTTGTTACAGAACTAACACTCCCTAGTTTCCAGTGGCACTCTCTGGGAACCTAACTGTGATCTGAAACATTAACTTGGTATGAATTTGCAGTGTTTTTAAGCAGCTGCTGCTTTAACTGCTTAACACTTAAAACCTGAGCTGCTGGAGGTCATCTGAGCAGCAGAGCAGTCTCTGCCTCAGAACATTTCCCTCTAGTTCAAAATGTGAACAGCTGAACAGGGTAACTCAGCTTTGATATGTTATCAAAATGGGAGAAGTATCTTGGAAGTTGTCTAAAATTGTTTCATTGCTTCTGAATCTGGGTCTTTCACAGGCTTAGTATGTGGGGGATGTTATTTGCTGCTGTACCAACTTCTTTCTGGAAATAAAGTTTTGGCTGTGGGTCCAACTGGAGGAGTTTGTCATTCTCTGAGTTGGAACCAGTTTGATTAGTTTTATTTTTTTTACAGACTGCTTAGGAAGCATAGCTGTTACTTCAGCTGTATGTGGGACACAGCAAAGAAAAGCTTTAGCAATATATACCTTTCAGAAAACGACATGTGAGTTCTGTACAATATGTAGCAAGACACACAAACAACCCCTAAAAGCACAGGTAGGTGGAGATAGAAGCTAGATTTTCTAGTTGACATTTTTAGCTTTAGTTTTTTGTTCCATAAACTCATTTAATCTGCACTTATTACTGCTGCAGACAAGCCTGGCAGTAGTGACATGCAGAAGGTGTGGACCATGTTTACTGCCTCCTTGCTTGCACTGACCCTTTTTGCCTGTTGCTTTGCATCACTTACTAACAATGCACCAAGTCATACTCTCTGGTTACCAAAAAAGGAATTTTCACTGAAGTATGTGATCCTGTTGACTCAGGCACTGTTCATGTTCTGCAGGCAAAGCAAAGTTGCTCTCTTCATGACCAGAATGAAGAATCTAGTAGCTTGTGTGTATAATTTAGCATCACTTCATTTCCTTTCTTTTATAAACCCATGGAGTTGTTGTTTTCTTGCATCTTCCCATTCTCTCAAGGGAAATAGGATTACAAGCTCTTCTGTCCAGGGAGAGAGGAGAAAGCAGGGTCTAAATTCCTTAGATCATTTGGAATATGCTGTAGGAAGCATCCTGAACCCCTTCCCTGCAGAGAAGGGAAGGTTAAAGAAAGGAAAACAGGACTTTGAGCTGGAAGCTTTTTCAGTGAAGTGAGTAGAGAGGTAGGTGTTAACAATTTTGGAAATGTTGGTAATTCTGTATGTTAACTGTGAAGATAATTGCATATGATAATTTGCAAATTATATCTCTAAATCACTTGGGTATGCTTCTTCCTGAGATAGCACTTATAGTACAGGCAGAAGCTGCTTAATTAAAATAAAGTTCAAAACCAAAGTAGGTTTTTGACTTGATGCCTCAGGTTTTACTGGAGATCCTAATGTGATTTATGTACCACTGTATTATGCAATTATGTATTAGCAAGTGTTCTAGTGGGGCTTAGAGTTTATCACTGCTTTCTCTACCTTACATTGTCATATATGCAGTTAAGATATTTTAAGCATGAGGATTGTTGTTTTGCTCGGGGAAAACACAGTATTTTACCACTTCACAATTTTCAAGCTCAGTAGCTCAGCTTGCTGTGAAAATTGAGATGGGTGGAAATTGTGTCAGTGATGGCAATATTTTCTGCTGTGTGGTGCCAATTTTAAGAAACACTGTCCATGAATAAATAAAATCAAATAGTGGCTTTGGATGTTGTCTCTCTTTATTTCCAGAATAGCTTATCCCTGAAATAATCATAGATGTTAATGAATCTGTTGTCTGGCACAGACAGTTTCTAAATGCTGGACTGTGGCAGTGGAGTAACTGGATACAGTTATATAGCTCTGAACTCTTAACTCTCTGCTGCTGACTCACTTTCTGGCCTCAGAGAAACCGTGCAAACTGTTTCCCTTCATACAAAAGGAACGTTTTCCTCCATCTTCCACAAAAGTTGCAGAAGGCTACAAAATACTGAGTAGAGCACATAGAAGGCTTCAGCCATTTCTGCTGTTCACTAAGCACTGTTAGATGAAAGACCTCTTTTTATGATGCCTCACAAAAGCTGCCTGCAGTCATTTTCCTACAGACAGAGTAGTATGCATCTGATTGCAGGAAAAAAAATGAATCAATTTAGTGAGATAATACTAGATTTGCCTAATTCAGGACCAACTTAAGCTTCAGGAGGGATAGCATGCAAGTGTGATCAGTCTAGTGCACTTCTATCTAATAAGTACATCTTGTACTCGACTTAATGGACAGTTTTTGCAGAGGTTGACTAATGAGCAGTTCCCCTTGTGGGAGCACCAAGGTGTGATTATTTGCTGTGGGAAAGCACAAAATAGAACTGTATTGGGTTTAGTAGCAAGGTTTTGGCAGTGAAGAATGGAGGGATGCTGTGGCAGTGGCCTCTGTGTTGTACAGAGCTGCTTCCATCTGCCTCCAAAATGGACACACCATTGCCCAAAGCTGAGCCCTTCAGACAAGGTGGTGTTGTCTCTGGAAACTATTTAACAAAGGTTAAAAAATACTGTGCAGCAGCTGTGAGAAAGAACTGAAAAACCCTGTGAGAGAGAGAGGCTGCAGACATCTAGGTTAGAAAAGGTGGTGGAGGTGCTACAAGTGCTAGACAGCTTCCCTGCAGCCTGTGGAGGAACCTGCTGCAGAAGACAACCACCCAGCCCATGGAGGACCCCTTCCCACAGCAGGTGGACATGCCTTGGATGAAACTGCAGCCTGTGGAGAGCCCATGCATGAGCAATTTTTCTCAGAAGAGTTGTTGGGATGTACACAGGCACAGTGTGTTCCTGATGGACTGCAGACTGTGGGAGGGACCCACACTGGAGCAGTTCGTGAAGGACTGTCCTGTGG